AATTCCTCATCAAGCTTCAGAGATGCTCTCAGCCTTTGCCCTTGCCTCCACCCATGATCTGGCTGAGGAATAATGATGTGAGAAACAACTCATTATTGAAGGACAGAGGGAATCACATAGTTAGAAAACTCTATGGATAATTTGGACATTCCAAAGGACAAACATTTAATTATGGAAAATGGTACTATGCATGAAATAGGGTATATTAAACTATTTGCTGCCTGGAGATAAAATATTAGAGCTTTAAAATAAACAATTTGTAGAAATCAATGCAAAGGTATCCAAGATTCTTCACTGAAGGAGTTACTTCACTTTATTAAAACTTTCAGTGGCTTCCTATGGTCTGTGAAAAAAGATATAACCACTGCCCCTGGGTAATATCTACCTTTCTTCACTGATCTCCACACCGCTGACCCTTGCTGCAGCTAAAACACATTGTTCCCAGTTTCCAAATATGCTTGAGTATTTCCTGTTACTACACCCTTATTTTTAAATCTCTTTTGACATGGAAAAATCTTACTGTCCTCATGCCAAACCCCTATCACCATGCTTCCATTTTATCTGCTTGGCTACCGGAGCAGATATCTTATGCCTTTCATAACCCAGATCAAAGCTTTTGCCCCAACCTTGTCCATGTTCCCAAGTGGAAATTGATGCTACTTGTAGGAAAACACTGGCTCCCTACTGATACACAGTCCGCAGTTTGAAGTATAGATGACAATGCTTAGATTGATCACTAAAGAAGGGGTTCAGTTTTTTACATGTTTATTATAGATTATCCATAGCTTTCTCAATGAAATTCCATCAGGAAAGAACTGAAAATGTCAAATCATCATATTCACTATACAGTACACAGAAAAGCAGCAGATCAGTAACAATGTATAAGACATGAGTGCCCTAGGTATCTTCTGTGTGTTTTCCTATACACATTCCCAACAGGAGACAGGCAGTTCTTCTCAGGGTCCTGTACACACTTGCATTGTATTCAAACTGTCCTAACAAAAGCCAGAAATAATGATCTGCATTAATTGTGTATGGTTGGTCAGGGATAATATAGATACTTGAGAAATAAACATTTTAGATTTTATGCTTTCCAATTTTGCTCTTGAACAGATCTCTAAATTTATACACCATTGTCCCATGATGACAACTGGCTCTAGCCCTCCATCTCCCCCTAATAGCCTGCTATTTTTAAGAGTTTCAATGGCCTGTTTTAAAGCAGTACTTTCTTTAAGAAAATAATTACAGTGTAAATTAGTCTTCAACAAATAGTAAGGCACATTTTAGAATTAAATGCCTAGGTATTGAAGCTTTGCTTCCTGATGTATTTAAAACCATTATATAAGTGTAAGCATAGCCATTCAATCTATGTACCTAGAAATATCATTCTTTCTGCTGCTAATGAAGGTCCTACGGCACAAATTTATTAAAGGTATACGTTTGCATGGGATAATAATTGGGTCGATAATATTAAATTCATAGGCTCATTATTTAATTGCAAGGGCAGATTATGAATACAGCTTCTAAAATGTATTTTAATGAAAAACACTACATCCTGACCTAATCATATCAACCTTATGCTATCTAATTAAGGATGCAAAAAATCATTAGAGTTGCAAAATATTAGTTCCAGCTCCATCAGGCTGTGAGCTGCCCCTTCATGAATATATATTTTTTTACTCCATGATAAATAGTTAATGAGGCAAAAATGACAAAATTTGCATGTAGGCAAATTAGTTTAATAGAATGATGTCTTTTCTGACTACTGAAAGTGACCTTTTCTTTATCAGAAAGTGGCTAAAAAAACTTGAAAGTTATCATCTGGCTGTCTTTGCACAAATGATAAATTACATGTATGAACAATATAAAAATTATACAATGCAATAATCCTAAATTCTCATCATACTGCAAATGTGCTCTCTGCTTTTGCATTCATCATTTAACAAAATGAAATTAAGCATATTATAAAGTGTCCACTTATGGGACAATTTTTATTCCAGATCATAAAATGAGAAGCATGTGCTTAATAGCTAGTGTTGAGGCAAACATCTAGATCAAAATTTTTAGAGCACAAGAATCCTACACTACTTCCTTGAAATACTTTTATATTAAAATATCTATTCCTTTCAGCTTAGCATTTTAGATTATAGATGATTGTTTTCAATTAAACTGGCACTATATCTTGAGTCTTGTACATCAATTATTGAATAAGGCAACCTTGCTCCCCCTTTGAAATAAGCTAAACAAGCAAATGTGACAGCATAAGTAGAGTAGCACAAAAAATAACCGGAAGAAGACTTCATACTACAAAGATTCAGGGCATGGGCAGATGTAAAAACAAGTAAAATGTCTACCCTTTTTAGTTCGAGAATGTTTGTGTAGGCCTAACAACTATAATCCAGCAATAAGAAATACAGGTGTTCTCTGCATTTTCAAATGATTTGGATAAACATCTCTATGATGTCCCTTCATTGATAGAGACTAAATGTATACTGGTTGTGAAGCAAGAGAAGTCATTTACACTGATGAATGAGTTTCTGTCAATAGTATACATACATCTAAGCCAAAAAATAAAATGGCTAATGCTTTTGCTTAAACTGTTTGTTTTATTACATCTAATCAAATTGTGTCTTCTTTGATCCTTTTGAAGGCACACAGAGAAATATGGACACTCAGTTTTGAAGTCTCAGGGGATGGGGGTTTAGCTCAGCGGCATAGCGCCTGTCTGGTAAGCGCAAAGTCATGAGTTCGATTCCCAGTACCGGAAAAAAAAAAAAAAAAGGTTTGAAATCTCTTCCTGAGTCCAGCTCTTGTCTATCATGGGTCAGTTAAATCATTTTACAAAGAAAGGCATAAATGGTATACCCAGAGAATTAAATAACTTCACAACCTCTCTCAATTTTCTTTACAGCAACTAAGCATTACATTCTCTTCTGACTCTGTCCCTCTGTCTGTCTCTGTCTCTGCCCCCCACTCCTCCATTGTTAAAATGGAAATAATAAATAATCGGTTCAGCTCACATCACTGAAGTATTCAATTTTGTACAGCATCCCAATATCTAAACTTCCATGTTATGGAACCTAATAATGAATTAAACACACTCCACCTACCCTGGGCATGTGACATTATCTTAGAGAGCACGTGCTAGTCCCTTAATTAATTTAAATAATTTGGAACTTTTACTAATCTTCCTCTTAGTCAAGGATTTTTGCAGATGAAGAAACCAGAGTGAATTTAAGCTCAGATAAAACTTATTTTCTTCAGTGTAGGAATAGTGGTCTTGGAAATGTGGGCTATACTGTTACTTGAACTACGAGGTAAACCGAATTCAAAATGCACATACTTAGTATATTGATAAAGAACTCATAGAATTTTTTGCAAAGCTATTGTTTAAAGTTTCTATCAGGTAGGAAATTCGTTGAGGTGCATTACTGGGTGAGGTGCGATGAGACACATATGTGGACGAGGTACACATAAGGTGCAATTTTATGGACAAATTAAGTTCTGTATATTCAGTGTTTCAACCATTCATGTATACATGCTTTTATGTATTGAATAAATGGCAGGGAGACAGGTACTATATTCTAGAGACTACCTGAAGTTGAAGACGTAAAGATTTAGAAGTCATTCTAATTCCACAAAGAGATCTCAGTCTAAAAGAAAGAGCCACGTGAACAGGTAGCTCTCAAATTGTGTGCTGATGCTAGTAAAGTCAACTGAAACAGGAAGTTTTGACAAAAGGAAGTGGCCCTCCCTGGGTTGGTCCCAGAGAAAGGACTCTTGAGCTAAGCCTTGAAGGGTGATACTGAGTGTGAAGGGGAGGGAGAAATGGGGATGCAGGAAAGGGAGAGATGCAGCAGCGAATCGTTTCAAAATGCAAATCACCCAATTGTAGGAATGTTGGATTTGGCTCTCCAAGTGATACAAAGTTATCACGGGGCTTGTGACAGCAGCAGGCAGGGTTCCAGTTACATACAGGGATGTCCCGGTGGAGGGAATAAAGCATGAACACAGAGACTGAAGTGGGACCACTTACATGTAGCTGAATGTTGCAGGTCTGGACATGCACAGTAGCAAATGGATTAGAGAAAAGATAAATTAAGAAGGTAAATTCGATAGGACTTGGTGATCAAATAAAAGTCTAGGAGACAAAGGAAAATCTAGAAAGGGTTTTCTGTGTCAGAGTGGATGAAAATATCGTGTCCAGAGAGTATACAAAGGGAAATGCTGAGATTTCCTCGTACAGGTGAAATGCATGTGTTAGTTAAGCACCGTTTAACTAACAGACCTTGTCTGGATAACAGTGGGTGATTGGCATCTTTTGGGCCCCCACGTGGAGACATCAAGTTAAGCTACTGCGCTATTCAGTATGGTTCTCAAAAGGGAGATGCAGCCTTCAGATACACATCTAAGAATGTTCAGCACATAGAAGACAATTGTAAGGAGTGTGTAGAGTAAGTGTGTAGAGTAAGAGGAATAAACCAGGAACAGAAACCTGGAAGGCTCTGCTACTCAAGAAGCTGATAGAGGAAGAGGCCCCCTAAAAAGTCTGCCAGGAAGATAACCAAAAGGGGGATGAGAATCAGGAGCTGGGTGAACAAAGGTCTTGAGGAAGGATGATGGAAAGAGCTTTCCTATCCTCCTGTTCGCTACAGGTTACTGTAAAGCCAACAACCTCCTCCCATGAGGAAACCCTGTTACTAGCTTCTCCTGTGTTCTTCAAAGCTCTTGTGTACTTTTACCATATGTAAATGTACATACCATGAACTATTTCTCTTGGAAAACAATTGTGCTAAACTGTAAGAACCACCCAATCTAGTTTCCTCACTTTGATAATAAAAGCAGTATAAAGTCAAGTTGCAAGATTTGTAAGCTGATGGTACATAGGACAGTAACTAGCTTCAACAATCACATGAGAAAATGCAACCTCTTGCTTGCCGCGCTAGCAGAGTGCCTCTCTTTGGTAGGCTCACAAAAGAAATCAGCTTCCAACCACTCACCTTCCTTCTTTCACCGTTGATTCCTCTCCACTGCTCAGATCTTTTCACTATGTAACTTAGCTCCTGATTGGATATCTCCAAATCATATGGTACGAAGAACTTGGTCTCTTCACTATGGATGCGTTGAAATGCGTCTAATATCCAAGAGTCGTTGTGCAACCTAAGAATACAACTGTCTGTTACTGTTTTTACTTTCCCTAAATCTTATTTTCCCCCAAAGTCTTAACTTGTATTTCTATCAACTCCTAGTCATCTAGTTCATTTTAATCATCCAATAATTTCTGAAAAACAGGAATGGGAAACTAATGATTAATTTTTGTTTATTACTTTTGTTTATCAACTTCTATTTAGTACATTTTTCCCATTCCTAATCAAAGTTGGTAAATTGACTTGGTAACGATGCATCAAGGAGCTTTTCACTGGAAAATGCCACCCAAAGTGGCAGGAAAAAAACTTTTAAATAAAACTAAAATGTAATGAAAACCTGCTTCCTGTGTTACACTGTGTCACTTTGTTCCGTCGAAACCCTAACCTGAGGACAGCCATCTGGGTGTTGCAGTTACTGCCTATAAATTTACTGACTCTAGTTTTAGATCTCTAGTAATAGACTAGAAAATTGGGAACCATTGGGCCAATAATTAGGACTGTCAATACTTAAACTAGGTCAAATGTGAAGACCTTGTCTAAAGAAAATTTAAACTTGGATTCATTCTTCCTATAAGATTCAGTTTTGGTGCCCCATGGTAGAAACTCTGCTAATTCACGGATATGGCTAAGTCACACTGAGATGAGTGCTGTGGGTATTAATTAGGTCAATACGTATAAAACTTTTCTATTAAGTACTCCTCTGAACAGAGAAGGTAAAATGTCTGTACTACCACAAGTTCATCAGTATTTATTTCCATTCACCGTGTTATTCTTGGCTATACCTTAATCCTACCTTTACATATTAATGCATTAAGATAAAAAGTTAGTCTTACTGTTCATAGGTAAGAGAGAAAACTTTTAAACTCAGAGCTACCAAAATTTTATTTCATTCTGACTTGAGACAAAACAGCACAAGTAACAACTTCATTGAATTGCATTTTGATTCTTTCTAAAACGCTAAAATACACGCTTTGAACCGCATCGCCCAAAGTAGTCTAGGGGTCTTTTCACCTGTTTGCATTCATCACAACGAAAATAGCTGCAGAACTGCCATGGCTGGTGCCATCCTGCAGTCTCCTCTGTTTTCTTTTATTCCCGTGGTCCCGGGGATTGAACCCAGGACCCTGTGTGTGGCTGGCAAGCACTCCACCACTGAGGTGGAGCCTCAAAGACATCTGCTTTCCCTGTGCTCTGAGAGTCTGGTTCCACTATCTGAGTGATTTACTAGTTGGCTTGTTAAGCAAGAACTAGTCTTTGCCATTCTCTTAAGCTTGTTTAATGTAACATTCATCTTTTTCTTTTAATGGTAGCAAGATGTAATGTAGCTAAATTGCTGTCAATTTGCCACCATAAACATTTTCTATATGAAGATTTTAAGTGCAGGATTATCAACAGTGCAATTAACTTTGAATTAATTAGGAATCACAGTCCTGTTTCCACTGGCTTCTGTTTCTTTTGCCCAGAAAATGTCTGTCTTCTTTTTATTTCTCTTCCATTTTGTGTGAAAGAATAATTATGTAAACACCCAAACATCTACAGGATGGTAAGCAAATGTTTTGACAGAGAACGAAATGGCACATTGGGATACAGGAAGCTGCACAAAGATTAATTATATTTTAGTTTTATTTCAATTTTTTTTTCTCTTGCCATTTTGGGTGGTATTTTTTAGGGAAAAGCTCCATGATGTGTTGTTAACAAGCCAATCTACCAACCTTTATTAGTCTGTGGCAAATATTACAGCTCAATAAAGACAGTTTACACAAGCAAGGAGAAAACATTCTATGCCTGTATGTATGAAAGAAAAATAAGTAAAGAAATACATTGAACAATGAGAATTATAAATTTCTGATGATATGATTAGTCACGCAACATGATGCGTATCCAACAGTGAATTAATTTATCCTTTTGGATATCAGAATATTTTATCATTTTTATATCCTTGAATCTCTTTAATTTTATGATTCTCTTCAGAATTCAACAAAATGTTAGCTGAACTTCTAAAAAAAATAAACAATGTGAAAACAGTTCCAATACCATTAACAAATTCCGTATTGGTGATGTTGAGGACAGAGAACAAACAACTATTTTCTTTAAATATATAGAATTTGAGTCATTCAACACAATATTAAATTTAAGATTTTCTTGATTATATTTACTTATGAAAGTTCATTATTTTCAAGTGGGTCCAAAATACTGAGATATATGTTCACTCATTTTGTGCTATGGATGTGCATTTATCAAACTGAATTATATAAAGTTGAAGGCATTTAATCATAGGAGATGTAAGAAGAGAATAATAAAAGCAAATGAAAAATTTTTAACAATTACTGAATCTGGGAGAAGTATGTGTAAGTTGATCATATTATCAAAATTTTTATGGATTTGTCTTTTTAAATAAAAAGCTAAAATTCTAGGATATTCCATTGAAATATACACTTTGGTGTAATGATGGTTGCAGACTTGGATTTTCCTTAACAATATATTTTACTGATCTGAATATTTTGTGTTTTTAAATTATTTCATCAAAATGTAATTAAAAAACAAAGTACCCTCCACCTGTCCACAGTGCCTTCGGCATTATTGTTTATAAGACAGGTCGCATATTATGCCACAGGTTCTGACAATCGCCAATGAAACAAAGTAATTTACCAAGTCCTCTGCTCTCTGTCTACATTTGCAGCGATTCATTGCTCGGTGAGTGGCAGAAGCTATTATGTTTGGTTCACATCTGAATGTGGGTCATTTACAGAAACCTAGTATGTGACATTTCTTTTAAAGCTAAAAAAGGACAAGTGTGAACATTTAGCTACTGCACTATTTTAAGGGTCACACTAAGGATGGTATCTGTAACATTAAGTAGCTCCAAATGCAAACACAGATGTGAAGAAGAAGAATCAAATATAACGGTTCATTTCCAACTCCAATAGTTACAAGTGAGTTTGTTGCTGTGACTCTACACTTTTGTTTTCTCGAAGAATTATTTTCTTATTCCCTATAATGGTTTGAGCAATCTTTCATTCTTACATCTGATAATCTGAGCAAAGTAGTTGAGGATAGTGATATGCAATGTAACAACCACGGTTGATTCGTATTATTTTGTCTTGAGACTCTGTTCCACTTTGAGTGTTCTTGCTTTGATTTGTTTATCTGCGATTGGCAGAAGTTTGTGTTTGTGATACTGGTATGCTGTGACTGTTGTATTCTTTGTTTGTTTCTCATTTCCTACTCTCTTTAAAAAAAATGTCAATGTGTTTCTGATGTAAGCAGGAAAACTCACATTTACTGGTTTAATTCCATTAGAATGAATCAGAGATAGCTCAGAGCAGGTAACATTCAAACTTCTTGTCATATGACCATCATCTGCTGAAATTTATTTTTATTTTCACGGTGTTGAAAACCACATATTCTTTAGCAGAGCTGTCCAACACCTTAAATGAGGTGTATGACATCCAAGTATGTATGAAGATAGTCTTGTGGCTTTTCTGGAAAACCTTAAATACCCACCATTCCTTTTAATAGTATGTGAAATTCACATGGCTTTTTTTCAACATTGTACTAGCTAGATGCAAATAGACACACAGAGAGCAAAGCTGAAAAGGAGAATGAAGAAGAGAAATAGAATTTTAGAAAAAGAAAAAAGAAATTTAGAAAATAAAAATGTGCACATGGTGGGAAGTAATCAAAATTCCTATCCCTGCTCGTATTCAGAGAAGGTCCTACCATAGCTGTGTAATAAGGAGCTCAAGTTGCATAGTCTCAAGTTTGTAAAGGGAAAATCATCCTCTGTTCAGTCTTCATTAATGTACTCATCCAGTTAACAAATACTCGTTCACACTTGCTGATCATGTG